ACTTCAAATCGAATTTAATAAATAGAAATCGTTTAAATAATTAAAAATAAAATGTCATGCGGCCTTTCGGCAAGTAAATTTAAAAAAAAAACAACTTAAAACTAACGCAAAATGTGTAAAAATAAACTTAAATTATAGATGCAAGATTGTCATACCTTTTACAATGCAATATGAATATAATAAATTATTAATCTAACACTATGCAAGATAATCTTACAATAAATTTATGTAAAATATGAATATTAATGTTATGCGTATGTATTTTCATAAATAATATAGATTGCTGATGGTGGGTGTAAACTTCCGAAACATACAAAGTAAATGATATTTATTAAAATGTAAAATGTTAATGTTTTTACTTTATTATTTTTAAAAAACCACATCGAAATGTTGTCTAACACGAACCAACAAAAAAGTAAAACATATTTGCCATTTAAGTGGCGTTTGTCCTTTCATAGCGTCATAGTACTATTTAATTTTATAATTTTTCAAAAATATAGTGTTTTTTATCAATAAACAAATACACAAAAAATATAAAATTATAAAAAATAGTGTATTGTATGAGTAAAAGAGAATCAAATAACAAGCAACTTCATCTCAAAAATCGATAAGATAACTTAGGAAATATAGCTCGGGATTTTTCAATTTTCCATTCGTTCCAGTTCAACACGGTCCGCATTTTCTCGCTTTGTATTTCGACCTGACTAATCCACCGAATAACAGGAACACTTTCGATGAAACCTGCAGGAGGAGAATCAGACAAATAAAGACGAACTATTAAATCCTGCACCTTGTTTTCGCTGTCAGTTTTCATTGCACATAATTGTCAAATGATCAAGGCGAATGTAAGTAAAATTAGTTCGTTGTTCGTTTGATTGAAAAACAAGATGAGCTGACGGGAATAATTTATCCTAATAATAATAATAATTTTGATGACTTGCACTGCGAGTCTCGGCGGACCATGGTGAACGGGGGCAATCAAACTGGTGGCATTTGTTAAAAAATCATAACAATTGACTGATAAATAAAAAAATCGATTTTTTGATATTTAGTTGGTTCTTATTTGATACTTCGTGGTTGCGACAAAAAATTTATAAAAGGCAATTATCTAAATCTAAATATAAGTATCTAAATATAAATCTTAACTGAAATTTGTCACATACATGCAAAAAAAAAAAAAACGCAAGTGAAAGGAACGTATTACAATCGCTATGTAAATAAATGATTTGCAAATAAAATTTTTGTGATGCGTTATTATGCTTACAATTGCACACTGATGACTAAACAGCTTTGTTAATAATGACTATCCTATAATTAAAATGTTCACCTTATACAAAAAATCCTAATGAGACATTTTAACACAAATATTTTAATAATTCACTCCGTCGCAATTTTGTTTTATTATCTTGTTGACAATTACAACAGTCAGAAGTATTGCAAGGATCATTTTGAATAATGTTAAGATTACACAATTTCGTTTTTATGCTAAGTGCAGCCGACTATGGTCGTAATAAATAAAACGAGGAGAACAATTAAAAAACAAATCGGACAATCTCTTACATAAAAGTTTGAACAGAATTTTTTTCGTGGCGTAAATAATTTTCTGCTAACTTTACGATGGAATGATAAAAGAAAAAAATATCTGTATCTCTATCTTTTGTAAACGAGTTGCAACTCAATAAATCCAACATGAATGAGATTACGGTTTACGAACAAAACCGTTTCTTGTTCCTTGTCCTTCGAGAAAAACAACCGTTCTTTTACTTTTAGTGCGAGATAACTATTTTTTTTTTTTTAATGAAGACATACGATTCTTGTTGGACAACGGACACTTTTATCTTTAAATAGTTGAGATTAAAAATTTAAACAAAAACTCGCAGTGAAAAAATTTCCTTTTCATGTTTTAGTTGTAACTTGTAATATTTGCTGGAAAATTTTGTCATATTCAGGGTATATTTACACAGAGCGAAAATATACAATATACAATATGGATATAATAAATTGTTAATGTAATAATGTGATAATCTCGTTATGGCTTATTTCTTTCGACAGTTAAGAAATGAATTATACAAAACTAAAATGGGCATATTTAAACGTTATTAAAAGACTCATTAAATACATTATTTTTCGTGGTCCGCTTGACCAATTAATATCATTTAATTAATTACGGTTTTAAGTTGAGATAAAAAAGTCCGTGTCACGAGCGGGATTCGAACCCACGACCTTCGGCTTGATACGCCGCTACTCTACCACTTGATTAGCAGCTTCTCAAGCCGAATGTCGTGGGTACGAATCCCGCTCGTGACACTGCCTTTTTTATCTCAACTTAAAACCTTAATTAATTAAATGTTATTAAAAGATATACATATAATTTAATTTATTTGTATATAACTCGAGTGGTAAATAATTTTGTCATTTATTGGCAACTTTTCCTTTTTTTGAACAAGTTGGAAAGTGGAATGATGAATTAGAAATTCAAAAAATCTGTTTTAGAACAATTTTGAAGATAGAAAATCCTTGATTATTTTTTATCTTTATGTTTTCGACCGTTAAGAAATGAATCATAAGAAATTAAAATGTCCATATTAATTTTGTTTATAAATTATACTTACGTATAATTTAATTTATTGGGTTGTCCGGAAAATAATGCAGGATTTTAAGTTTTCATTAAAAAAAATCTATATAAAATATTCTGTTTACGTTTACAGGATTACNGTATGGGAAATTATTTTGATTAAAGAACATTGCTTTAAAGTAACTAGTTTCTTTTTTTTTGTTTAATACCAAAATCCTGCATTATTTTCCGGACAACCCAATATTTGTATATAACACGAGTGGTAATTTAACTTAATTATAGTTTATTAACATTTAATTTCCTTTTATAGAACAATTTTGAAGGCGATTGAAGATCCCATTTTTTCAAATCTTCAAAATTAATGTGTCCAGGTTTAATTTTAATTAAAACTTCTATATATTATGGATTTATTTGTATATACCAGAGTTAATTTATCTTGTCTTTTATTGAATTATTTCATGGTTTTAAAATAATGTAGAAGATTAAATAATGTATGACGTGAAAATGGACAATATTGGATTTTTTTTAACCTTATTTTTTTGAAAGTTAAATAATGAATTAATTTATACAAATTAGTGTGACGATATTACTTTTTTCAATATTATTTCATTTAATTCCCCAATTTCGTGGTCCGCTTGAACAATTAATATATTACAATTAATTAAGGTTTTTAGTTGTGATAAAAAAGTCAATGGCACGAGCGGGATTCGAACCCACGATCTTCGGCTAGATACGTCGCTGCTCTACCACTTGATCGTGACCTCGATCCACTCAGACACCAATTTCCCATCTCAACCCCACCTTTTGAGTTTTCCCTCCTTTTTGCCAATTTTCAAATGTCGTGTAATCGACCATTGACTTTTTTATCTCAACTAAAAACCTTAATCAATTGTAATTATTTCATTGCTTTATAATGCGTGTGATACGTTGTCTTATACACTTTATTTTAACAAGAGTGGTACTTTAACTTTTATATACAATAAATTGTTAATGTAATACAAGATAAACTTTTAACAAATTGATGTAATATATGAATATTAATGTTATGCGTATGTACTTTTATAAATAATATAGATTGCTGATGGTGGGTGTAAACTTCCGAAACATACAAAGTAAATGATATTTATTAAAATGTAAAATGTTAATAATGTTTTTACTTTATTATTTTTTAAAAACCACATCGAAATATTGTCTAACACGAACCAACAAAAAAGTAAAACATATTTGCCATTTAAGTGGCGTTTGTCCTTCCATAGCGTCATAGTACTAATTAATTTTATAAACTTTCAAAAAAATATTTTTTTTTTAATTTTTATGGTGATTAGTGACCGTTAATCGATATTTATTTAGAAATCGTGAGATGCGGTCTGGTGTGATGTAGGTATCAGAAAAACATTTTCTTTATCGTGCCAACGTTTCGATCTTTATTGAGATCATCTTCAGGGCTCAAAGTGTTTGTCTTCTGTGTAATTGTGCCACACGCTTCTCGACACGACACGCAAGAATGGCACATAAAGAAAATGTTTTTCTAAAACCTACATCACACCAGACCGCATCTCACGATTTCTAAATAAATATATTTTTTTTAAATAGTACCAGGAAAATTAATTTACGTTTAAACTGAAAGGCACCCCAAAACTTGTTTATGTATCGTTACGCTGTATTTTTCGCTAAATTGCAATTGAAAAGCAGCCACCAGATTGTTTTGTAGTTTTCGATAAAAATTAATTAGTTAAAAAAACACGTAAGATCTTTCTCATTTGGCATAAATAGCATATGACAATAGCATATGACGTGAAAATGGACAAATTGGCTTTTTTAACCTTATTTTTTGGCAGTTAAAAAATGAATTAAATTATACAAATTAGTATGACGATAATAGTTTTGTAAATATTATTTAATTTTTTTTATAATGCGCGTGATACTTTGTCCTATACACTTTAATTTAACACGAGTCGTAATTTAACTTAATTGTCATTTATTGACAATTATTTTCCATTTTTAGCACAATTTGGAAGATGGAACAATGTATGACATGAAAATGGACAATATTTGATTTTTTAGCCTTATTTTTTTGACAGTTAAAAAATTATTAAAATTATACACATTAAAGTGACGATATTAATTTTGTAAATATTATTTAATTTCTTTATAATGCGCTTGTTACTTTGTCTTGTGCACTTTAATTTCATGTATGTTTTTTTCGCAGAATTTTGGTTTGGCAAGAAATTTAGGAGAGAAAAACGTGTTCGTGTATTTTATTTGGATCCTCGTGCCCGAAGAAATTAATTTGAAAAGTTGAATGTAATAATAAATATACAACTATGTTTACACGATCTGCCCCACTTGAACGATATTCGGAAGGAGTTATTTTAAAAAACTGTAGTTGTCAGTTGTACGTATGGTCTGCGTTCGTTTACAGTACCTTCCAGCAATCCATTGTGTTCATATCGCAGTCGAAGAACAGTACAATACAGCTAGCTACATGTTATCTTGGCGAGAAACGGCGGTTTACTGGCGTTCATCGTGTCGAATTGCAAACCCCCCTTTTCATCTAGGCTTAAGTGGGAGTACCCGGTGGTATCCGGTCGTGATCCAGGCGGTCCCTGCCCTGCAGAATATCGTCGTCCCCCCTTGACAACCATTAGATACCGAGGAGTGTCGATGGTTTACCTTCACAGACATGGTGGAGAACGGGGCCTCGCTGCATGCCTCACCCCTCGCCTCGATGGAACTGCCACTGCCCCAACAAAACCGTCCCGGCTGTTCTTGCCCTTAGTATTGATCTAGCAGGAGTTCACGCCTGACCAACAATTTCCCGCCATCCAATAAAATCCAACATTCCAATTATGCATTTAAATATAAAGCAGTCAATCTCAAATAAATAAAATTATATTGTAATGATCTATAAAATAGACAAAGCCCAAAACATTCTGCAAGACTGCTTATCAACAACGTACAATTTGGTGTTTTTATTATAAGGTGATTATTAAAAGATCAAGTTTTAAGAAAGAAATTATTAAAGATTTAGCCAGTCTAATAAAAAAGCTGATGAATATTCCTAGCTAAACTAATCTAAACTACAAACTGATACAAAACTATCACATATTTACACAATATAAATATTTTAGAAACACGAACATTTCGAACGTCCTGCATTAAATAATAATAATATTTGGCTCTGAACTTAGTAAATGAAGATAGTAATCCATTTTTAATCTCTTTTCTCCATTTTTCCTTCCAACATCAATTGATTTCATCTATCAGAACCAATTTCTTACATTACATTCGACTTTTTCGCGTTTACTTGTTTATGTTCTCTTTTATTGCCCAAGATTAATTTATTTTATCAATCAGGAGCGTTTTCGAACATTCTTTGACATTTTTTCATCGCTTTCCATTTTCTGCTGAAATTTCCAAAATCAATTAATTTTATCGATCAGAAACGTATCCACATTCGTACGACTGTTTTCTTTTATTTTCTGCTGATATGTAAATCATCAATGGATTTTATCCATCAAAAACGTGTCCATATATTCTGTCCAACTATTTTCTTTCCTTTTCTTACTTTTTTCAGAAGACTCAGAATCATGTCCACATATTGTCTGATTTTTTTTCATTTCCCTTCTTTTTGTTCAAAATCAGTTTTTTGTTTTTTTAATTAGAATCCTGTCCATTCTTCCTCCTCTGCCATTTTTCATTTATTTTCTGTATTTTTTCCGTCCAACATCAATTGATTTCACCAGTCAGAACCAATTTTTTAAATTCGGTTCGACTTTTTTCCTTCTATTCGTTTATGTTCTGCTTTATTCCTAAACAATCAGGAGCGTTTCCGAACATTCTTTGACATTTTTTTCATGGCTTTCCTTCATTTTCTTCTAAAATGTCCAAAATCAATTAATTTTATCGATCAGAATCATCATTATATCCTGTCCAACTGTTTTCTTCTATTTTCTGCTGATATGTAAATTATCAATTGATTTTATTAATCAGAATCCATACATTCTATCCGTTTTCTTTCCTTTTTTTTCAATCAGAATCATGCCCGTACATATTGTCTGATTTTTTTTCATTTCCCTTATTTTTACCCAACATCAATTAATTTTTTTAAATTAGAATCCTGTCCATTCTTCCTCCTGTCTTTATATTCTTTGCCATTTTTCATCTCTTTTCTCCATTTTTTCCCGTCCATCATCAACTGATTTCACCAATCAGAACCAATTTTTTAAATTTGGTTCGACTTTTTTCCTTCTATTCGTTTATGTTCTGCTTTATTGCTAAACAATCAGGAGCGTTTCCGAACATTCTTTGACATTTTTTTCATGGCTTTCCTTCATTTTCTTGTGAAATGTCCAAAATCAATTAATTTTATCGATCAGAATCGCATCATTATATTCTGTCCAACTGTTTTCTTCTATTTTCTGCCGATATGTAAATCATCAATTGATTTTATCCCTCAGAATCCATATATTCTGTCCAACTGTTTTCTTTCCTTTTCTTTTTTTTTTCAATCAGAATCATGCCCATACATATTGTCTGATTTTTTTTCATTTCCCTTATTTTTACTCAACATCAATTAATTATTTTTAATTAGAATCATGTCCATTCTTCCTCCTGTCTTTATATTCTTTGCCATTTTTCATCTCTTTTCTCTATTTTTTCCCGTCCGTCATCAACTGATTTCATCTATCAGAACCGATTTCTTACATTCGGTTCGACTTTTTTCCTTCTATTTGTTTATGTTCTGCTTTATCGCCCAACATTAATTTATTTTGTCAATCAGAAGCGTTTTCGAAGATTCTTTGACATTTTTCAACGCTCTACGTCATTTTCTGCTGAAATGTCCAAAATCAATTAATTTTGTAATATTCTGGTCTAACTATTTTCTTCTATTCTCTGCTGATATGTAAATCATCAATTGATTTTATCCATCAGAATCCACATATTCTGTCCGATTGTTTTCTTCTGATTTGTACATCATTATCGACTTTATCGATCAAAATCGTATCCATATATTCTGCCCGATTGTTTTCTTCTCTTTTCTGCTGAAATGTCCAACATCAATTGATTTTATTCAACATAATCGTATCCCATACATTTCGTCCAACTGTTTTTCTCTTTTCTTTATTTTCTACTGATAAGTAAATCATCAATTGATTTTATCAATCAGAATCGTATCCATGTATTCTGTCCAACTGTGTGATTTTATTTTCTCGCTTTTTTCAATCATAATCGTGTTCGTACACCGCGTTTCACTTTTCTTCTTTTTGTTCTCCTTTTTTGTCCAACATCAATTGATTTTATAAATCAGAAACGTTCTCATTATTCCGCTCGACTTTTTCCCTTTCTATATGTCCTCCTTTTGCTATACATTAAATGATTTTACTAATCAGAATCCTACAGGATGAATATTCTGCCCTTTTTTATCACTAGTCTTTATATCCTGCTGATACGTCCAAAATCAAATTGATTTGATCAACCAAAATCGTAACCATATCTGACTGTTTTCTTCTCTGATCGATTTGATCAAGCCAATGATGTCCTTATCCTGGCCGACATTTTTCTTCATTTTGTTCTGTTTTAGTCCATCATCAGAATTTTTCTTCTTTTTGTTCGGCTTTTTTGTCAATACCACAAATGATTTTATCATCAGAATTCTTACATTCCGTCTTCCTACAATTTTTCATCGTTCTTCTTTATTTTCTGCTAATACGACCAACATTAAATTTATTTGTTCAATCAGATTCTTGAAATTCCTTTCTTAGTTTGAAAAACGTTGAAACAAACGCTCAACTCACTTGGAAACGATGTATAAGTTTTATTTCTTTCTGAGGTCAACAACCCGAGAAAGCTCCACGACTGCATTTTATACGATCACTACTCGTTTTCTGCAGAGGAAATGCTCAACTTTTTTGGCTCCTTCCTGCAAATATGTATAACATATTGTCCAAACTAGATTCCATTTCAAGGGTTTTAATTTAATGATGGTTATACTTAATAGTAAATATTTCATTGGAGAAAAAAAAAAGATTTTTTGTTTAGAAGACTTTATTAATTAGTTTGTAATTAATTCGGTTAGATATTTCGATTGGGGAAAAATTTCGCCGATCGTTCAAAACTCTCTGCCGAACTGAAATTCGCCCGATTCTTGAACATAGGATTAACCATGGTTTGTTTTGGCATTCTGAATTTCACACCCACGATAGAAAACTTTAAAAAGACTGCAGTGAAGAAAAGCTGTGCTTTAAAATCTTGTGCAGAAGTCACGATGTGATAATGTTATTATTGGGTTGTCCGGAAAATAATGCAGGATTTTAAGTTTTCATTAAAAAAAATCTATATAAAATATTCTGTTTACGTTTACAGGATTACTCATTTGTATGAATGTCAACACTTATTAATCCTCTTCCAAATGATATTGTTTGTTTACCTCTGTAGCATTCCGCTACTTGGAAATAATTCAGTCATCCTTATAATGTCAAAGCGAGAATTTCGTACGATTTTCTTTTACGAGTTTAAACTCGGCCGAAGCGGAGCCCAAACGGCTAGAAACATTAACCAAGTCTGGGGCGAGGGTTGTGTTAATGAGTGCACTGTGCAAAGGTGGTTTAAAAAATTTCGGGAGGGAGATTTCAGCCTTGAAGATGAAGAAGGTCGTGGAAGGCCTTCCTCTCTTAATGATGATGTTCTGCGATCAGTGGTGGAAGAAAACCCCAAAACAACTGTTCGAGAACTTGCAGAGCAACTCAAAGTCAGTAAAACGACCGTCGCTGACCACCTCAAGGCGATTGGAAAAGTGAAAAAACTCGAAAATTGGGTTCCACACTCATTAAACGATCGCCAAAAAAATCAGCGCTTTGATGTTTGTGCATCACTTCTTTGTCGAAACAAAAATGACCCATTTCTGGCCAGAATTGTTACATGTGACGAAAAGTGGATTCTCTACGATAACACTAGACGTTCTGGACAGTGGCTCGACAAAGGAGAAGCTCCAATACATTTTCCAAAGCCCCCAACTCATCAAAAAAAGGTAATGGTTACGGTATGGTGGGCTTCATTTGGTTTAATACACTACAGCTTCTTAAATCCTGGCGAAACCATCAATGCTGAATCATACTGTAACCAAATTAATACCATGCATCAGAAATTGGCAGTAATGAAGCCCTCTTTGGTCAATCGGAAAGGGCCCATTTTGTTGCATGACAACGCTCGACCACATGTGTCACGTGTAACGTCACAAAAATTATTGGAGCTTGGCTATGAAACTTTGCCTCACCCACCCTACTCTCCGGACCTCTCGCCTACTGACTACCATTTTTTTAGACACCTGGACCACTACTTACAACACATAATATTCAAAAATCAAACGGAACTGGAAAATGCATTTATTGACTTTATCAATTCTAAAAATTCTGAATTCTACTCAGACGGAATTAATAAGTTACCAACACGTTGGGAGAAATGTATTGAGAGTATGGGAAATTATTTTGATTAAAGAACATTGCTTTAAAGTAACTAGTTTCTTTTTTTTTGTTTAATACCAAAATCCTGCATTATTTTCCGGACAACCCAATACTAAAGTAATGTATCATTTTAGGCTTGTAATCAGTCGCTTGAGCAACTAGTCTGAGTCTTGCCATCCACGTGGTATCAAGACAACCCACCCAAATAAGCAAGATGTATTTTATAATTAAACAATATTCAAACTATTAACAAACTTTAACGATCATATGCCTTTAATAAAAAAAAAATGCTTTCTTCCATACATATTAAATGTTATCAGAATGAAAGCACATGCAAAACATGATTTAACATTCTTTTATGGGAAAATGCTTTTGGATTTATTACTGCAGTTGCAAGGAAAGAGAAATTATGGGGTACAACAGAAAAGATTTTTCTTAACTGTTCACCTTACTGTGAATATATTACATAAGATGATGGCACACAGAAAACTTAAATCATATCTGATGCCATTCAACATGTCAGACGAGTACATACCCAACATTATTTTTGCATTTTCTCTGAAGCATACGTTATTAGTTTAAATAACTCAATTGTAGTGTAAGTTGCTATAAAGTACATTATTGTTTTAAGAACTTGTATGTGTAGAAAAAACTTCTGATTTGGCTCATGCTTTGGATTTTGAAAAATTATAAATAAATAAATTTCTACTAAACTAAAATATAAGAATGTAATCAACACATAACATAATCTTACATGTAATGAATGAATGAAGATGGCAAATGGCAAATAATCTCTTCAAGGCAGCGATACTGTTATTTAGAAACAAAACATACAAACACAATGCATATGCGGAGATAAAATAGAAAACACAGATAGAAACTTTTTCTAAAATCACATTCAATTTACAAGCGTCTTATTTTATTTTTATTCAATCGATATTCACTTTATAGGAAAACGACGAATTTTGATTTCGCTGAGACGAAAATATATTAATATTTTCTTAATTTATCCTGAGTAGCAGTAAAATTCTGAATGTATTTTAAAGCGATTTGAAAAATAATCAATTACACTTAAAAAAATACTTAAATACAGTGGACAAATATTAATTGGAAATAAAATATTTCTATTTGTATGACAACAGCTGATCCGATTAATTTATTTAGGAAACATGAACATGCAATTTCAGCAGTGTTTTGTTCGTCATAAAGCAAACTGTACATGAATAAATTTGTCATATGAAAATTAAATCATCTAAAAGCACTTACTCTATACGTCATTGTAAAACACTGGAAATCCTAAAATACTGAAATGTGTAAACCATAAAACCCAGAATGCTTCTTCAAGTCAAATACATTTATAATACTAAAGAGAAAGAAAAAAAAATGCACATAGTTATCATTGTTTACATTTGTTAATCCTCAATCCACAAGTTCAGAAAAACATACACCATCAATCCATCCACACAACCCAAGAAAATATGAAAAATTAGTATTGATGATTTACTTAATAATTAAAAGTGTACATATTTTTCTTTCTATTATTAGCTTACTGTAAAGGCGGAAATGTGCATTTTGCACCGATAAGAATATCATATGATAATAATATCTGAGACTGGATGTTGATTTATAATTAATTCATATAAATAAAAGAAAATATTTTAGTTGTTTAATTTTGTTATTTGGCGTTTAAAATACTGTCGGAGTACTTATTAGCATGCCGTGAGATTAGATGTTTTTAAAAATCAGTTGATTTTGTGTAAATGTGTGGTGTTTAGTGACTGTTATTTAGAGATCGTGAGATGCGGTCTGGTGCGATTCTAAGCCCACATGACACCAGACCGCATCTCACAATCTCTAAATAATGATTTTGTATATTTGAGCATTGTTTTTCCAAAATTTGTCATTTTTTCTTAATGTTTTAGTAACAAAAAAAGTGTAAAACCAATTTTGAAAAAGAACAGTGTTCTACGAATTAATCATATTTTTGACTTTTACTTACCTTAATTTTAGCCCTTATTTGACAAGCTGTGAAGAGGATAAAAAAAATAAACCTTTTGTTTTTATAAATTCTACTATAATTTCTATAATACACAACAATTATAATCCTTTTTTTTTTTTTTGACAAATAAACTTCTTGAATACTCAATATATTTTTTTAAACTTTTACTTTTTAATAAGCTATTTAGAGGGGATTAAAAAAATGCTATATAGCAATTCTTTTTTTTATAATTTAACTCTCACAAGGTTATATATATTTTTTTCAAATTTATCCCACTGTGATCGCGAATATCTATGGAAATTGTGCTATACAACAAAAAAATAATAAATCGATGGCCCATTTGAAAGCCGTAATCTTTATAACTTTTTGATTTTTAATGTATAATCTTATCCAATTGGTCTTTATCTAAGTTTTATTAATGTAATTTGACCTGTTCTTACAAACAAGAACGGATAAAACATGGTAAACGAACATAAACATTAATACAAAACTATAACATCTTTATAAACATCTGCAAAAACCGAAAATAATTATAAGAAAACCAGAATTTAATATAAGAAAATAATACAAAATACAATTAAATTAATATAGCAGTAAAATATACTACTCTGTGCAATTGATATTTTTTAATATATATATTTTTTTAAGTAACAAGCCTAAATTTTATTCAAATTTAATGAGGTAAAGGCTTACTAATTAATTGTAATGTGCTTAGCACCAAAAAATAATAAAATAATATATTCATCTAATATGAACAAAAATATATAGGTATAATCTAAATTTTAGAAAATGTGGTAAATTATAAACCATATTCTCAGGACAAACAATAACAAGAATTGTTAAATTTAATTAAAATATTCAATCGATTAGTGTATTAATCTTAAAAATTAATTGTGATATTCTCTTAAAAACAAACAAAAATCAAATGTGAATATTAATTAATTTTGTGAATTGGTGAAAGCTACAAAAAATTAAAACAAATAAAGAAATGAACTGAGAAATGGGTTTGCTAATTTTCCAAACTATACTTTATCATAAGAAAATAATATTTCTAAAATGTATATCTATTAAAGCACTTCAAACCAATAAAAAGAAAAAAAGAAAAGAAAAACAGAAAAATATAAACTTTTACTCATTTCCAAAACTTTTTTTTGCACAAATAACAATGTGACTGTTTTTTTGAAAAAAATTATATTATTAATAAATGGCACTTGTTATTTTTAATTACTTACTATTCAATGTGAGACAGTATAACTACAACTTTCCTGTGAGATTATATACATTTAAGTAAAGGAGGCTCAGAGTGGAGTTCTACTTTTATATGTTTCTTACTAGTTACATTAATTTTAAAAATATAAATTTGATTTTGTTCTGAAGTAAGAAGACAGTCTCATTATAAGTAAAATTTACAGATTGTTACTTCAAAGAGATTCCTTTCCTCAAACCAGAAGGATTAGCATAAAAAAAAGGTGGGAGGTGAATGAGCCTTCTTGAATGTTCCCACTTCAGTAGCATCATCCTCAAGGTTTTTAATTCCTTTTATAGTCAAATAACAAAAATAAGAATCCATGAAGGCACAAATGCAAAGGCACAAAAACATTTAAGAAAGACTTAACCCTCACACAAAGTGTTATAAAACTATATACTTAAACATTTACAACAAACAAAATTATGCACCTTTTTTTTAAATTTGTAATAATATTATATGAATTATTTTCCTATTCCATTGTAACAAAACAAAAATAATATGCTTTTAATTCTGCCCTGTTTTACACTGTTCCTTACCGAGATTCGCTTCCAGTTCTTTAACTCCCAAAACACAAATTTGGCACAAGAAAGGAGCTTAGTGTCAATTGTAATATCAGTATATCCATTAAATAATACTGATTTTTATGAGTATTCGGACACTACCTACACATTATAATTATAAATCTCTGTTGAACACAAGTATGTTCAATCAAGCATAAAAGCTAGCTCTCATGGCTACTACAACAACTAAAAATATAATAATTAAGTAGCAACAAAAATATTAATTTGTACATTAAGTATAGCACATTTTTTTAAAATCATTCTCTAGGGAATAATTTAATGTGTAAAAAAAAGACAATTAAACACCTGTAATTACAGAAATATTAATAAAGTGAATCAGTAAGTAGCAAGCAGTTGCAAGTGCATTATTACCCTTTTTCATGGACAAACTACAAATAATGTTATTGGTATTTTATCCTTTTCAAAGGTATAATATATTTTTTGTTTTACATACATTACACAAATATTAGAAAGGGCCAAGTTTAAAGACCAGAAATGTAAAGCATTTTTTTTTGTATTACAAATGAAGTGCTATAGAACTACACAAATCCTTTACCAATTACGTCAAAACTCCCCTTCTGTCTCCGTTCCGATAAATTTAAAATTAAAATTTAATCTGCTTATCCTTTCGGTGAAAAACAAAAAGGGAATAATGGATAAGACAAAATAGATAAATAATATCTAAAGCTAAACAACAAAGTTTCTGTTAAGAGTCCTGTAGTGTTGTACTTGAAGATCCCAATGGATATTGTTAGGAGTTGATCGTGCTTGTTATTATGTTTGGTTTTTTCAAGGTCCAATGTTAGAAACGCCAAGCCTAGCGGGGGTTAAACAAGAAAAACAGAATGTTAGTTTCATTGTTTTTCTCAGCTATAATCTTTTGTTTTTATTGTTCTTTAACAAAATACAACAAAATATTAATTGCGTACCGTGAGTGCACCTACGCGATCTGTGCATATAAAGCTTATAAAGAAGAGAATCTTTTAATTTTTACTTTGATTTTATACGAATTTTAGACAGATATCGTAGTGTGCTCAGATACTAAAGAAAAGTGCTTTATTCAAAATCCAGTTCATTAATTTTTACTTTTTTTTTTTTTAAATTTAGCATCTAAACAAAAGCACTTTCTGTCATTTTACAATAGTAACGCAGAAACATGCAAGCAAGGGCAACATTAATTTAAATTAAAAATTGCTTACACAATATCCAGACACATAAAGACAATTTGTTTTATTTTTATTAAACTGGACAGTGAATAGAGCACCCTGAAAATCTGTCATAATAGCCCTGTTTGTTATATTTAGAACAGAACATTCATTAATAATAAATTAAAAAAAAAAAAAAAAGGCTATGATCACAGAAGAAAATATTATTTTTGTACATGATATCCCAATCACCGCTAGCATACTTAGGAAAAAACACACTAATTTTCCATCTGTTTTCATTAGAAAATGTCAAACAAAAACAGACAGTCGATTTAATATCAATTTACTCTGTACTAAAATATATAAAACACTACAAGATGAAACCAAAGCGTCCCATTACTTCTCTTAAATACAATATTTATAAATAATACGAGGAAAATGACAGAGACACCTTCAAATATCTACAATTTGTTTTAATATGAACTTTTGGCAAAGGAATTAGTCATAATTGTACAGTTTATTATTAGAGCATGCTAGATAGTAATAAATGTACGTTCAGCTATCACATTAAAATACAGTGAAAAAAACATTCATTTCACGCATTTTTTTTTTTTTTTTAATATAAAGCCTTTCTAGAAGGAAAGAAGAATTGTTTCTCCGTCTTTCTTTTTATGTACATGGACGCAGCATCAAATAAGATACGCTGAATTTTAGATCAAAGATTCAGTTAATTAATTAAAAACCTTTAGAAAAAAATAAATATTCTCCAGTATATTTTGGCCTTAAATCCTGTGAATTTTAAAACACATTAAATGGCCAATACTTCAAAAATATATACCCCAAACACAATAAAGAAATAACTCCTAAAATGTTTACAACTAAACAGTACACATTTTGAGTTTGCAAAAAATGATTAAAACATTTAAAATTAATATTGATTTTTTTTTTTTTGCAACTGTGCGTATCAACCGTGAAAAAGGCAATGTAATGAAATGAATTTTTTCACTGCGTCGCAAATAAAAGATGAAAGTTGCCTGGAACTTTGATAAATTTATTAATTAAGCAATTACTTATTTTCATGTTTAAAGCCATCTGAAATTATTTTAATGTAGATATTCCCAAGCGTCTCTTGCCTTGAGATTTCCCCGTATGCAGGAATAGCAACGGAATGTCGGCAAAGAGAAAAAAATATGCGTTTATTTATTTTGCACCTCTACGCTGTTTGAATCTATTTTAGAAATTAGCCTTTTAACTTGGCCTTGTGGATAGGATTTTAGTAATTGTATGCAATTTAATCTTACCCATTCCCATTAGCAAACAACAATAATTAATTTGTTTTAATTAATCAAAATTTAAAATGCAAACTTTGTACACCACCTCCAAAGGAGTTAACATTATTTTAAAAAGTGCAGAGTTAATAATAATAATAATTGGGAAGTTTTTTCTTTGATACAAAAATGCTCTTTTGATTACAACATTTTAAAATGTAAAAAAAAAGGTTAATGGAACTGGTTAATATTATTAAATTGTTAACAGTGAATTATTCTTTAGTTGTTATGTAACTACTCGAAGTGCATTCCAATTAAAAAATGTACAAAATAAAAAAGAAGGAACTTGGAACTGAATAAAAATAAAATAAAATAAAATAATTCCGTTTTTTGATTTTTTTTTATTTTATCCGGATGACTTGGCACCACTTAATACACTTTCTTTTTTAAATATATATTATGCATAATGTAAATAATAATAACATAATAACTCTGAACTTAATAGTCCACCAGGCACAAGTTTTTCTTTTTCAAGAAACTATATAATTTATATAAAATATTTCAATTTTATTTGATTTAAATTAGCATACATTGAGTGTACTCAAAATACACTTGTTCATTTTAAAAATATACATCTATCCCCCCGACAGAGAAGGTGTGATTGTTCTTTTTAAAAAAAAATAAAATAAATAAATAAAAAAAAGATTGATTAAAATAGTAAAGGATGTAGGATACACTCAAAGCCTTATTAAATCACAACCATTCATTTTTAGGTTCAATGATAATTTGTGGTGTTAAAGCTACAACAGTATGGTTCAACATAATATAATATAAATAAATAATATAATATATAATCTATATATGAAATAATAAAAGACAAGGGACTAGTATTGTCATGTATTATACTGGCGTGTTAACCCAGTCGGCTTTGTCGTGAATCCTACTTTACCTTTAATCACTTGCCAAGAAACAAGTCATGTGGAAAGAAGTAATATTCCTTTTCAAAATAATTAATGTATAATGTAATTAACTTATGATTGAAAAAAAAAAAAAAATAGCTTAAAGGTTTATTGTAATAAAAAATTAAATAATTTTGAAAAGAATATTACTTACGATGTGATGGTATAAAAAAATATAAAGACTATGAGAAAATTTCTTTGCCTTAATATTTAAGAGACATATTCACAACATAAATACGATATATATAAATATTTTAATATGTAAAAAAAAGCAACATATTTGGAAACACAATAGAAACTGACCTTTTAATTTTTGGGTTTGTGTTTTATATTACAAGTCGCAACATTTTGATTAAGAGAGAGCACCAGCTCTCTGATATGGATGTTCTCTGATTTGACCCAAATGCCTGCGTTGCTTAGCAACTGCAGCAACTGCTGCCGCACCTGTAGCCGCATACAATTAGACAAAAATTCTATGGTAGGGTAAAACAATAGATTATTATACAAAAGTTGTCCCCTAAAACAACAACAATAATAATAATAATACGAAGATAAACAAAAAAGAAAATATGGTAACGCCAAACACCCTTTAATAAGTGAATAAATATTCGTTTTATTTATCCCAACAACATTGTGTACGTGATGTCAAGTTCATTTTAAATGCAGACCCTCTTTAGAAAACAAGGCCTGGAATGAATATGAATTGGGATTATGAAGAAAATCATTTATGGTCAATTTATCAATGTGAATAATCCTATATGATACTTATAAATATTTCACTTAGTAGTTTTATTCCGATTTTAATAGACTGTTTCGATTATAATTACTTTTGAACTTTTCTGATAATTTCAAAAAGGATTACAATTCACAGAGGCAATTTTAACAAGGTAGGACAAGGACTTGTCCCACCTCTCGGCATGTTCACATATAGAACACAAAAGAAAAGGAAACAACAATAGTCGGATGAAATAAAAGCTCAAGAAAAGAATTTGCTAAACAAAATCCAAACAATGACTGAGGCCTTCTGATGATCGTCAAACTTCCAACACTACACAGGAAATTATAAAACATACAAATATAATATTTAATAACTGGATATGAGTAATGGCACGGAGCTTACATAAAAAAACATTTTTCCAAACTAACACTATATACAAAAATAACTTTCTCCTCTTTTTTCTCTCTTTCTTTCAAAAATAAAAACTTAATTCACAAAAAATTAATTTAAAAATTAACCTGGGGCTTTCACCACATTTCATAAATCCTATACAAAAATTACGCATAATATAATAATATAAATACAAAATAAAAACAAATTGAAAATAGTACAAGAAAATATAGAATCAGGCACCATGTAAAATTTTAAAAAAAATTAAACAAGAGTTGACTAAATTTAGTTAATAATAAAAAGTTGGATCTCTCCTTATTAAACCGCAAATATAAACTTAGCAGTGATAAAATTAATCTGTGGAGGATGGAAATAGTCATAATAACTTATTCTAACTTGGCACAATTAAAAATTTGATTTTAGCATTCATAAACATTAAATCGTAGGCTGGAATTATGAGACGAGATTAAAAGAGTTCGATTATATTTTTAAAAAAAAATCGGTCATTTCCTCCTTGAAAATATTATTAAAACCAAATATATTAATAATTAAATTAATTTTTAACAGAAATTTGAACTATTTTTCACATTGCAACATCCAGAAAAAAAGGTATGCCCCAATAAAATTTCTTTATCAGTCTCTTTGGTATTCAGTTCTGAAAAAATTGAGTATTCGTTATTTGTTATAATACTTTTCATGGTTATAATCTAGAAATGTTCAAACGCTGAAAATACTGATCAACTAACACTGCCCTATTGGCCAAACCAAAATACTGTCCAATTTCTCTAAACAACCTAGCATTCCTCAAATCAACCAACTGTGGACTGGAATTGTTTTGATATGGAGTATTTCCTTAATTAAACCAATTGACAATCTACTAAAATGAATCGATTTTAACATCTGCCAAGCTAAAAATATATATAAAAACGGTCTTTGACAATCACAAATATTAAGATGCAGGTAGAGCAAATAAAAAACAGTTTCCTCACAAATTAAGAAAAAAAAACTAAAGCTATGGAAAATCAACAGTATGACAGATAAAATGACAGATAAATTTGACCCAAATAAAACAAAAATTAGAAAATAATACCTAACGAAAAACATCAATGAAAACATTGAGAAATCTCTAACCACCACATGTAGCAAATCAAGCATTCTGCTTGTATACATTGCATATAAATGTGATTAAAGCATAAAAACAAAGCATCACATTGAATTCCAAAACATAGTTGCGTTGCTTAAAAAAACTATTTCTATATTTTTCTAGGCGTTGCTTAAAAAAAACTATTTCTAAATTTTTCTAGGTAACCCTAGAAAAAATTGAGGCAAATAAAAAACCTCAATAAAATTGCAAAATGTTCCTAGCCATGAATGTGCATATATATAAAAAATTACTTATATCTAATTGATTATGCAATTAAATATATTTATATATAAATCAATATGCAGTTTCCTATACAATATATAATATTTTATATATATAATTAAGTATAAAACACAACTAAATATATTTTTTATAACTTCTAATAAAATTCATATATATATAATTGTCCTTAAATTTTTCCTATTTGACATTTGAAACAATCCTAATATAAACATATGTACACTTCATTGTTCATATGGTAAACCCACGACAGAAATTCATAAAAAGGAATATTGTAGAAAGAAATGAAATTAGCGCATTGAACCTAACTTTTTGTGTAGTTTAAGCCTTATAAATTCTTTTTTCGTTTTGATTTATAATGAAGGTACATAATAATATAAAATAATGTCTAAATGAAAGGCTATGATGTCTTATGGTAACAGAAAAAGTTAAACAAAAAATTAGTTGACTACAGAAGTGTAGGAAAGTCCATAGTTTTGCCAAGTCATGGCCGGCTCGGGAAACTTTATTAATGTAATCCCGGGGCAATGGACTTCGTCGGGGATCGCCATTTCTGAAATCAACATAAACCCTTTTTCAAAAAAGAAAATGAAAATGAAACAAAATATAATAATCCCAAATAAATAAAATGGAGTTTTAGAATTTATTTGAATAAGCGTAGCAGAGAACTATAAATGAAATGAAGCACAGGCATCGTAACTGAGGCATAATTGAAGTATGGCAAAGACAAATTATGCATTTTGATTTCAATTTTTTTATAATCCAGAAAATTATTTTAACCCCCTTCCTACAAACACAAAAACAGTTCAACCGAACGCTAACTTCATTTCTTCCAAAAGCTATTATTTTATAACTTCAATTTTTGAAATCTATTAACTTACAATTGTGTAAATATGTACAAATATATAAAAGGGAGTGTCACAATTGTATTCTAATAATAGATTTTAAAAGTGAAATAGTTTTTTCCTTCTCTCAGCGAAGGTAATCAATCACAATCAAATGTATTTTTCCTTTATTTTTTTTTTTTTAATTTTTAAAGTGTGTGTGAGAGTCATAGCACAGAGAGAGCAAAGGATGGAATTGTTAAAAGCTGTGTACAACAAAAACAAACAAACAAAAATCATAAAGGATTGTTTTTGTGTGGCGAGGAAGGGGGGATGCTGACTCCGCTCACCTGAGGAGCTTCCAACCTAAAAAAACAACAAAAAATTACACACGTGAACCACAAATATCTTTCATTTCGTTTTGATCGTGTTGACTTTGATTATTGCATGAATTTGAAGGATAAGCTAAGTTCTGATGTTTTAGCTTGCTTTTTGATACTGGGAAGTACAACGGAGTAAATGACAGAGAGCGAATCGAAAATGACAAAAGGCCTTAAATGTTAATAATTAAGAAAAACTGCCAACTACGGAACGTGAATACTAACAATTATCACAAAAATGACAAGAAGCAATATCTTCATACAGTCTAGAATCTTATAAATGAAGAAATTTAGGCAAAATGACTAAACTAAAAACCAATGCAGCAATTTTGCGGGGGGGGAATTGTTGATGAAATGACAAAAAAATGACTACAGGATATTACACAACAATATGCAATGTACATGTATGCATATTTAGTATTCACTGGTGCATACTTTTTTTTTTTGGGGGGGGGCATTTTTACTACAACTGGAATTTTCTAGCTGCAACAGAAAATGATGAAATGAGGAGACAAGCTTTGACAAAAGTAAAATTACATTTTTCATTTATAAGATCAACTTTTAAAGTAACCAAAATTTGGTAATAAACACCTAGGATGCAGAAAAAAAGGAAGGTGTATTTGTAACATGAGGTATCTTTTAAACTGAAATAAAAACAGGGAAGGAAATTTCAGACTCCTAAAAGTTGTACACTAGACACAGAACAGAAGCTGTTAGAGCTAAAGGTGCTACGCCTATTAATACATTGTACCTTGAAAGCCATATATCCTGCATATCAATAGTACAATTCCAACAACACAATTTTTACTTTATATCACTGGAGTATTCCCACACAGAGAATGTAAAACCTATTATTTTATTTATCAAGAAATGAAAAAAAAAAATTGAAAACAAACAGCACAAATTAAATGTTTTCCAATGAAAGATTCCAAACTGTGTTCAATTTTAATTCAAGGAGCAAATTATTACACTGTCATAGGTAATAAATGTTAAAAGCAACAAAACGTAAGAATGGAAGAATAATTAAATCTGAAATATTCTAGGAATTATTTTATATTTCTAAGCAGAGTTAGTCAATTAAGCAGCGATTAACATAGTTGAGAGATCGAATGAACTGTGCAAATACATTTTGTTGTACAAAACGTAGAATGTTTAAGCATTTGGCTTGGGTGGTAGAGAAGCAGTTTTAAACCATGTTTTTGATTTAATTGCCAATTATTATACCAGGTAAGGTAAAACGCATGCAACGACATATGGATACAAAGGATTTAAAATATAAAATGTGTACAAAACTGCAAGAAGTTCTTGTTAATTGAGCATAAGTAAAGTTATGCTTATTTATGCAATTAGTTCCTTTGAATATATGATTAAATATTAAACTTCACACCTGGAATTTACTTATTTCTTTGTTAAGCCCAAAAAAATCATAATTTTTGAGACGAGTTTAGTTATTTTGAACCAATTTGTTCTACATTTTTGTATTCAATTTGACAAAATTTCTTGTCAATTAAAAATGTTCTTAATCAATTAATAATTAAGACTGAAGTGTTAAAATCCTGAATAGTAAAGTTAATAAAAGAATGATCAAATCGTTTTATCCCTAATTTTCAAAGAGAAGTTAAAAACTGATTTAATAATGAAATATAAAAATATTTCTTATCTATATTTCGATATCAAAAAGAAAAGAAAAATCTATGGAGGAGTCTGAAGCTGAATTTGAATTTTTTCAGTTTTTACTAATAAAACGTTGAAAGTGAAATGTCATTCAAACAGAAGAATCATCAGGAAAACATGCTGTGGAGAGAATAAAATAAATATTAATACATTATTTTTGTTTTAAGCATTCAATTCGACAAAAATTATTCCCTTAATTTTTTAAATTTAAATTTTGATATTTTAAGGGATAATTCTTGTTTCATTCGGGTCACTGCATAGGGTGTCTGCACTTTACAGAGGTTTCCTGTTTTCTCAAACAAGCAATTAGATTAATTACTTATATATTAGACTAGGGGAGTGAAGTTATATTGAGGCTTATATGTTAGTCGTTCTTATATATTAAAGAAGTAAATATTTTAATAATAGTTTTTCTTTATAAATTGCCACCATAGCTTAAGATGTTTTAAACGCATTAGTTAAAAAAGTTAATAACTGTATCCCATTTTTTTAATGTTGTATTGCTGTTATTTGGGTTTTCTGATTTTTTTATATAATAGGAAATAGAGACTGCAGCTATTTACACATTTTGAAGAACAGGCTAATGGCTAGAAAACAATGGTACAATTGATTATTAAAACAAAGAGATGCAATCCTTAATACTGAATAGTAAATAAAAATTAGGTTGTAAGATGAGTGCAAAGCCGAATTGGTGAAGTGCATGCATTTGTACTCACTATATGCAAAAGACCATTTTTTTCAAATCTTTACACAGGAAGACACTTGTCTTAAAGTGAATAAACATTATTGTAAAGTACATCGATCTGGAATTGGCTTATAAAGAAAATAAAATTAACAATCTATCACAGTCCAAATTTAAAAAAATAAATAGAAAAGGTAATATCTAAGTAGTTACTTTTAGATATCACAAACATAGTGGACATAAAACATTTATGTCCCCATATATCAACATAGTACTTACAATTTGTCCATTTAACGTAAGTAAAACTTAAGAGTGTACTAGTGTTAATGGCCGGATATCAAACAGTAAACGATGACTTTTATAAAAATACAAAATTATATTTTTTCAGTACAACACTTGATTTGTGTGAAGTACTACTAAAATTTGTGATAACTCGAAAGGAGCGATAGTGGGTTGAATAATTTTCTGAATTTGAGGTAGCAATGTTTTTTCAATGACATTATAACTTAACTCTTAATTACGATTCGCCAACTCAATGATAGTGCCTCATTAAAATTTTAAAATAAACGAGTCCTCATAGTGCCTGATTCAGTCTTTTCATTTATATAAAAACAATGTATAAAAAAAGTGGTAACTAAGACCGAAAAAGTCTATGCAGTGACCCACAAACACGATAAATAAAAGTCTATCTAGTCATATACTTATTGTAAACGTAATAAAACGGACCAGAATGATCTGCAGCGGCGTACTCCGAAATGAGAGGGCTTCCGGCAGCGAGAGCAGCGTAGTTAGAGTAGTCAGCTGCGGCCTGGGCAGCCGAGGCATACGGCGTGTAAATGAGCTGGTGGTGAGGGTGAGCTTCGGGCGGCGAGAGAAGCGGGGCTGCCGATGTCGGCACTGGGAGCCTTGGCGAGAGGATAAGTGGAGCCCCGAGGGGGCCGGCTGTCGCCGCACTCTGTGTCCTCAGAGGCGATCCCAGTCCTGGCAACCCTGGTGACATCAGCCGCTGTGTCTCTGCCGCGGCAGCTGCAGCCGCTGCCAATGCCATCCTCCTCCATTCTTCATCTGAAATTAAAACATAAAAATAATAAAGATGAATAATTATTTCACAGATAAGAGGACTGGTGTTTCATCAGACAGACCTTTGTAATAGTCTATCTTATAAAGCTCACGTTCACAACAGACAGGCCATGTTTCGTGGAAACTAAACCCTAAATATAAAAATTTATACCCTTTATACAACATAGATTTTTTTTAAATATGTTTATAAGTTTTGAGTAAGGATTTTTATTTGTTTGTTTGGAAAAAACACTTTGACCTAATCACATTTTTCTCACCATAACTACAATATAATAAAAATACCTACAAATGCTATAATTTTGAAGATTTTGATTTGCAATGTTGAAAAATAAAAATGTTAGTCATAAAAGGTGGTAGAGTGAAGGAACAGAGTCAGGAATGAAGGATTGGCGTGGTAGAATCTTGGGACATTTTGGAAATCGATTAGTTTGTATCAAGAAGTTTGCGACATTATATATTTGACAGAAAACATCTTTTCTAATCACCCAAAGTGTTCTAAACTTAGTACATTATTACTACACAATAAACATACACAATGTACACTAATAAACAAAGCTCAGAATTAAGAGAAACCTCTTCTAGAATACTCATATAGGAATACTCTTCTGAACTTCTGGAAAGCTCAGTACATAATTTTTGTTTGTTAACCATTTCAAATTCATGGGCCAAATGCACAGTTTTGGCTGTAAATTTCGTCGCCAATAATGTTGCAATGTAATAAGAATTCCATACTTTGCATGGTTTGCACTTTGCAATATTGGGAGACAGAAATTTAATCAATACAATTTTGAAATAGTTGAAAAACGGTCTTTTTATTTTTACTCACTCCTATACTGATTTTACAAAAAATTCTAACCAAATTCTCCCTGTCGGTCTATTACAACAGATTGGGGAAGAAGGACTCCCACTGAGGAATGAGGATGGTGTTAAAAAAAAAAGAAAAAAAAAGAAGCCAACAGTGAGAATAGATAAAATATTTTTGAAAAAATTAGGGAGCAAATTGAATCATAAAAAAGTTAAAGCCTATGGATTGTGCTTTATTCTCGAATTCACCAATAAACAATAAAAATCTTTATTGAAGGATGGATTTACCTGCAGCAGCAAGAGCTTTTGTGTTTGAATCCCTATAGGTTCCATTAATAATGGCCAATTCCATAAGCTGCCTCTTTTTCAACTCGTCCTCACCTTCCGCCTTTGAAAATGACATGTTGATTAGAAACTAAAATTAAAACGAGGAAAGGAGGGAAGAGAAAGAATACGACTTACTGGTATAATGAGATTCTTAACTTCCTCAACAGCCCTGGCAAGGCGCACTTTCGCCCTGTTTTCAGTGTCCTCGACGGTGATCAAAACATGCAGGTCCTCACTGAGATGTTCCCAGTTCGGTTTACCCCTGCTAGCTTCTTCCTGTTTTTTTAATCCAAAACAATTAATAAACAAATGGAAAAAAAGAATATATTAATGAAAGAAGGAATAAAAGTTTTGAAAGCATTATTTTGATAATTTATTAGACAAAAATAAATAAAGAGAATGAAAGAGAGAGAAATAAAAATTGTAAAATACGTTTAATAAAGAGCACATTTTATTTTTTTAAAAATTAATTAATTTTGCATGCAAATTTTATTTATTAATATTAATGCATTTATTCGGAAACGGATTTTTAATTTTTTTTTAAAGTTCAACAAATATTTTTTATTAATCCTCGAAATCCGGATAACTGCCTTAAAAACCTCTGTGAGTAAAACTATCTTTTCCAAAAAGTGAACTGACATACTCACCCCCAGCTCAAATTATTTGTAAAAAAGTTATGTACATATTGCAAGTTTTATATCAAAAATATATATTTTAATTTTAAAAAATGATATTTAAAAAAAATGTAATTCCAGCGAATCCAGAATAATTATTAGCTAACTAAAGATTAAGTGCTATTTTTCAAGAGGAAACTAAAGAGTTAAAAAGCATCAATTTGAACATTTATTAAAATTCCAATTAATTATTCTTTTTATCTACGGTTTTTGGCTGAGATGAAAAATTATGGCTAAAAACCTTAGATTTAAAAAAAAGAGTAATTCATTGGAATAATTAATATGAATATGAATATTTTTATTCATGAACAAGATTTACATTTTGTTTGAATATGCCATATTATACATTTTATTACATCTACATTTCATTATTTTACATTGTTTCAACCTCTGCATTAAAAAATTCATTCGGAGAGTAAAATGGGTTGTTTTGTCAATGATGACCACTAAGGAAATATGGGTTTATTAAAATTTGTAAAAGTAATTTGTTGAAGTCGTGAGGAGCTGTCAAAAATGAGCTAGTTTAGAAAAACACGTTTTTTCATTTTTTGCCAACGTTTCGACCTTTATTCGGGCCATCTTCAAAGCCTGGGTAAATTATAAAACGTATGCTGATTGGAAAAAAAATACAATTTGAGATGTAAATATAAATTTTGAGCCAAGTATTGCATACTCATGTAAAGTGGTGCTATTCTTGCGATGTCATATTGGTTGAAAAATGAATTTGACGATCATATAAAAACAGCAGAATACAAATTCACGTTTTACAACACTTTCACACAAAATCAATGACACCGCAAGAATAGCACCACACTTTATGTGAGTATGAAATACATGGCTCAAAATATATATTTACATCTTAAATTGTATTTTTTCCAATCAACATGTTTTGCAATTTACCCAGGCCCTGAAGACGACCCGAATAAAGGTCGAAACGTCTGCAAAAGATTGAAAAAAGTGTTTTTCTAAATTACCTCATTCTTGACAGCTCCTCACGACTTCCAACTAATTACGAAACAATCGGTCACTAAGAAACACACATTTGTAAAGTTTAGATAAACAAATAATTATAAGTTCCCTTTAAAAAATTTACGTTTTTGAACAAATGAAATAAAATAAACGTAATAATTCAAGCTGAATTATAAATTTGACAGTTTGGATATTCATACTGAAAAATATTGTTTAGTACACTTGAACAGATTTTGTATGAAAAATACATTTTATATTAAAAATTAGACAAAATAGAAAAAAAATGCGTCTCGTCTGTCAGCTTAATTTGAAGTAGATACAAATATACTTACAAAAAAAGAAAATCTGGTCCTGCGTGGGAAGCAATGACAGAAAAGAAACATTCATGAAATCCGATATTCTGTTGGAGATGCCGAAGAGGTGGTTAACCCAAACAAGAGCCGAGAATAGTTGAGAGGCGGCGACGGTCCCCGAGATTTTATTTTATTGTATAAATACATGGCCGTTTGGATGTATTAAATCGTTAAAGTTAGGCGGAGCCGTATTGTAATAGGACGGATTGAAATCTCCTTTAGGGAGGATCGTCATCGTGAGACCCGAGGGACTATTTCGGGATCTTTCCTGAGTGGAGTCTATAAACGGATCTCCGCCACGTGTCCAACCAACTCGTAACCCCGTGGGTTAACCACTCTTTTATAAAATTATTACATTTTTCAACGCAAAACTTTTTTTAAAAATAGAAAATAAAGAAAAGAGAAGACCGAGGAAAACACGCCCTATTTTGCGGGTTGCCAACGTCATAGTAAGAAAGGAAGGAAACGATCAATGAAACTTTACCAAAGGTCAGTGAAGACCTCTTTCAGGACTTCTTTATAATAGGAACAAAATTTGTTAAAAATATTTAATTGGGTCAAAAACGAAAAGGACATAGTAAAAGGACCCCTACGAATACCCAACGAAATAAAATATCCAAATTGCGCCCAAATTTAAATAAATTTACCAACTCCAAAAGGTTGGCAGTAAATCATTAATAGACAAAAGTTGTTAAATATTTTTTCAAGTTTACTTAACTTGTAACTTAACTAAACTCGTAATAATTCAGATTTGACAGTTTTTTCCGTTCCAGTTTGAACAGATCGCCGTAATAATTTGACTTGTTTTACACAAATAATTTAATTTAGTAAGGAAAGTTCATGTACCTTCTTTTTATCCCTCATGGATCCTTTACCTCTGACCATTATTTTGCAGCCAGTTTCCAATTCGAGCTGCTTAGCCGTCATTCCTCTCGGACCCAATATCCGACCGACGAAATTAAACTGCAACAAACAGAACAAAATTTATATTAAAAAACAATTCAAATGAAATAAACCAAAAACATTCTTTGTACTTCCTCAACGCAAATGATTCATTCTTATTGAAAAATCTAGCCGTACAAAAAAACCTTTAAAGAGGACCAACGCACGGGGAAACACACAGACCAACCACCGAAGCCAATTTGGATAAAGGTCGAAATTGCGTCTAACAGAACAACCAGCAAAAATAAGCAGGCTAAAATTTAAATGACCAATATACAAATAATTATCTCGGTTTTATCAAAGTTATTTCAACCAAGGTAAGTAAATAGTAGTTCGTCATACGTCCAGCCATCCTATATGACAGGAATTACTTTATGTTGGGGTTGTTGATGAACCTGAACAACCGGCTCTTATAGATTCATATTTAATTAATTTTCGAATCCTTACGGGCTTCCTCTTCCGAACCATAACCATATTTTAGTGTATTTGGGTTCCAAAACGAATCATTACACCAGATAGACTAAAAACTTGTTATAATTCTGAAGAGGAATCCAGTAAGTCTTCCAAAAAGGATTATATACTTTACTCGTTGTGATTTTTTCTTTATATGGTAATCTTTTAATGTTTTCATTTATTGCAGTATGCTATCACATCCAGTGGGCACATATGCCTCCTAGATCTCATACCTCTTTCGTTTATTATAAATTGGTTTGGTTGTGAGAAGAGATGAACTTCACCCCTGACTTGTTGATTAGAGAAGGACTTTATTTTGCAACGTGTAAATTAATCACTGTAACCAGCGAGAATAAGCAGGCTGGTTACAGTGTAGAAGCTGACATGCAAGGCTTAGGCGTAGGCGTAGGGCTTAACTTAAGTTACCCGTGTCACGGTCAGATCACTTTACAATGCATTTTTCGTACAGTTATCAATTAAAAAGCCATGGGCTTTGCTGGGATTCAAAACCGGAACCACCGCTACTGTGGTAAATACGAGTGGGACACCCTAACCATTCGGCCACCGCGGTCCCCCCCCAAGGTGGCTATTAGTCGACCAGGCAAGGTTTTTACATATTAAAAATCTTACAATTCTCAATAAATACTTCTTCGAATTTTTGAAACTTGGTCCCTTTTGTCTACTTAATGAAATTAACGTTTTAATTTTATAATGGGATTGCTGGGTATGACTTCATTCTAAGAAAGTAGAAAACATTTCCACGCTAATCTAGCCTTATCAATTCAAAATTACCACCCCCTCTAAACAAATAAACAAAATTTTAATCAATTACTTTGATAAGACAAGAGGCAAAATATTTCGAAATCAACACAATTTAAAGTAATGAAATATTACATGTCAATAAGAACATTTTTGATAGTAATCTGATCCCAGCTATTAAAAGTTAGAATGTTGTCGAAAAACCCCCCTTATAAAAATAAAACACAAACGGCGATTTTAATTATATTTTATGTCACGCTATAAAATCGTCCCGGGTCATTCGAGAATGTTAATCTCAAAAAGGCTGTAATTCAAATTCAATTGGTGATAAGTTTTAATCATTTGTCACATTCCGTGCGTAACTATCACGTTGACCATATATTCTGCCATTTGTGATAATTGTGATATAGCTTTTTCTCTTTTATATCGTTCCTTGGAGAAAACATACTGTCCGAGTTCATAAACTGTGCAATAATTGAGACAGTAAATTATAAATGGTGAAGATTTTATTTTCGTTTCATTCGGCAAGACAGGATACGTATAAAACCTGATAAGACTAATCCGTTCAAGGATGATCCGTTTTTAAGACAGGAAACAAAATATAAAGAATTACAATTTTTGATTTAATGTTCCAATTTTTTTTAAAGCTTAAGATTAAAGAATTATTTCATAATGTGAAAAAATATCTTTTAAACATATCCGAATCCAGGATAGTATTATGATAAGCGCATGCTTCTTTTTAAAAAAAATCTATAGTCCCATATTTTTCATTTTAAGTTTTCATAATTTAGCAAGTACCTAATATCTTAAAGTTTTCAGTATTAGAAATATCGACTATTTTTTCACTTAAGAACACTGGATCAAAGTACGGTCTTGAGGAAGAAAGCAAATTCAGATGCTACTGCCAAGCTTTCGACCTATTTTAAGGTCATCATCAGGGCAAAACAACCTTAAATATGTCTACAGATTGACACATTTAAGTTTTTACAGGCGAACTCGAATTTTTTTAAAGACCGACTCAGTCCCAACATTAGCCTACAGATTGACATATCGTTGACAGTCCTTGGCTTATGTTGGGACTGAGACGGTTTTCAAGGAAATTTGAGTTCGCCTGTAAAAACTTGAATGTGTCAATCTGTAGACATATTTAAGGTTATTTTGCCCTAATAATGACCTTAAAGTAGGTGGAAAGCTTGGTAGGTAATTGAATTTTGCTTTATTCCTCAGGACCATACCATGATCCAGTGTTCGTAAGTGAAAAGATGGTCGATATTTCTAATACTAACAGCTTGAAGAAGTTAAGTCTTTGCCAGATTATGAAAATGAACATAGGACTATTGATTTTTAAGAAAAGCATGCAATTATATTATCCTGGATTTGGATATGTTTAAAAGAGATATTTTCACATTATTAAGTAATTCTTTCTGTAGAAAGTTTCTGTATTGAGTTAGACGGAGATGGAAACGTGATGTAGAAAGCGAATTAGCCTAAAAACCGGCAATTCTATGATGTGAATTTAAAACGGTTAAATGATGATGTCAATCGTTGCGTCCATCCTGCGAGGCCCGGTTTTCAATGATGTTGCGTAATTCTAGTTCAAACCGCTCCCTCTTTTTCTGTACAATTTGTGGCCGGCTGTTGTAGAGAAAAAAAATAAGGCTAGGATTTAGATTCAGGGTCGAGAACCTCACCGCAAGGTATACGAATTAGATTTAGCGAAGTGGAATTATATAAAAGTAGATATATACAATTTTAGAAGACGGAACCTCGGAGAGTTTAGACACCGAAAATAGAACTTATTCCCTACATTGCCAACTGAATTTTCATGTAATAACACACACTAACAGGATTTGCCCAAATAATACTTTCGAAGTTCTTAAAATATCCTGGTCCCCTATGGTTGAAACTAAAATTTGATCAACAAAACGCCCGATTTTAATAGGCTCAACAACAAAACTTTAATCTTTTAATTAATCGAACTCATTTCGTACAGTTGCAACATGGAACAAATTAAAATCAAGGAAAATCGAAGGTTTGTGGTATAATACGCCAGCTTAAGACCTCTATGAAACGGGCTGTTCCCAACCCAGTCTGTCATTGACCAGCGAACATAAAAGGAATCGATCCCGATAAGGATGAGAACGATATTTCGTCGACTTTGCAAAATTTATTTATGTTTGTGTTTGAAAAAAGCAGTACCATATTCGCCAGGGTATACAGATCAGCATCAAACAAGAAGCCACAATTGAGATATAAAAAAAAAAACATGTTTATTTAGTCATGAATTTAGAGCCAGGATTTATATGCAATAAAATCCTAAATTATGCCAAATAATATGCACTAAATATGGTAACATACTGAATGTCAGACATCATCCACCTGATAATTAACTTTTTTTAAAAATCTAGACATATATTTCCTCTTAGGTCTAATAGATATCAATTATGAAAGCAAATAGGACAAAAAAATTTAATTCGCACAAAAGAATCATACACTCAAAAACAAAAACCCAAATACACGTGTTATGTTGTTTATTTCAAACTACTCTCTGAGGCAAAAAAAAATTAAATTTTGTTGTTTACTGGATATTTTTAAAGCAAAATATAAGATATAGCTACATAAAAAATTAAATTGAGTAAAACAATTTTGCCAAAAATGTAGCTAAGAACAATGAAGAAAATATTCAATTTAGTTCGATGTATTTACTCCTCTTGCATTGACCACTAGCATCCGACGTGGCATCGATTTTATGAAGTTTTTAAGGTGCGCTGTGGAATGTGTTCATACTCCTCCAACAGCGCTATTCTTAATTCCTGCAAATTCTCCGGCATCACTAGGTAACCTATTGCATATTAACCTCTTTGACAACTCGTCCCAAAGGTGTTCGATAAGGTTTAGATCGAGACTGAAGCTAAACTGGAAGCCCGTTCCATGTAGTCACCAACGACCTTAAATATGTGGGGCATTGCATTGTCAAGCATAAAAAAACCGTCGCCAATTAGTGGCATATGTGTAAGGAACACTTCTTCCGTTGATACATCTTCAATGTATCCCGCTGTTAGAGAACCCTCGATGAAGTTAGTGTGACTACCATTAGAAATGCCTGCCATGACGCAACCACCTCCATAGAGAAATTTTCCGGGGATATATCGTCCTCCTGTTCTTCTCCGAACACTCCTTCGGCCGACAGAAGACCTCAAACCTCATCCGAATACAAGTGTCCAATCTTGCTCAGACCAATTATGTGATTTCTTGTGAAACTTAACCGAGTTGTTCTGAAAGTCTTCGCTTTACTGTGCGCAAACTGACAGTGCAGTCAAAGATCCATTCTGTATGATAATCAGTTGGGTGCGGGCATGGTCCGGTATGGTAAAAGGATACTAGGAAGAGGGGTTTTTTCTTTGAATATATAATTTAGAATATACAACAAATAATTAAGTCTAAAGCTCATGTTCTGAAGATACATTTCAAAGTTAGTACTACAGAGTTAATCGCTCAACAAATATTTGCTCTTAAGCTCAGCAGAGGCTGGAGCATACTTGCACATAGAATACATAACGGTATCGTCGATTTTTTATTGTAAGACATTTAATGTTTCCCAATTTATTCAATCTAGTGTTTTGGTTAAGGATGTCTTTTAATGTGTGTTTCTTAGTGCCATGTTGTTTCATAATTTGTGTAGTGAGAAACGGTCAAGAATGATGGAGTTTAGGAAAAAACCACCTTTTTCATTTTTTGTCGCGTTTCGACCTTTATTAGGGTCATCTTCAGGGAATAGTGTGGTGCTATTTTTGTGGTGTCATAATGGT